CCTGGGGAGGGTCAGGGCCTCCCACCTCTCTTCCCCTTCTACAAACCTCACGAGAGGACTTGCAGCTCGACGGCTATTTAGAGTACCCTCATGCCGCGAAGACACTACACATTTACAAACATCCCTGTCTCTCTCTTCTCCGGGATATATTTAAAAATTTAGATCCTTCTAAAATTTCTGGAATGTATCAAAATGATGATACAAAACGACAATATAATTACAGCTATTAACATATATTTTTGATTAAGGTTTTTAAAATATAACACAATATTTTTTTTTACAGATCTCAATAGCATAACTTCTATAGAAATTGGAATAAGTTCGAAAAATCAAGCACTAATAACAAAGATTCCCTTTGTTTTTTAGAAATATTACTTCAGTACATCACAATAATCCTTTTTTGATTAGATAAGTCGATGCACTTTAATGATAGTTTGCATTGATTTCCCCCTTATCCGTGTAACTTTCATTGTAAAATATTTTCCAATAGCAGCAAAAAAAAAAAACCTCTGGATAACACATACAAGTTTTCTTTCAGACTACGCATTTCAGAAGAATACATCATTTAAATTTTTTTCAACACCATGTAAAATAACCGTATTGCAATTTTTAAAAAATGAACTATTGTTAAATTTCTTTTAATGGAAATTTCGGTAAATTAAAATTCGAGTGGTAACAAACTGCAGTTTAACACGATTATGATGGTAAACAACAAGGTTCTCATTACATTGTAAACTTGCCCCACCAGAAATTTTATACCATCGGTTATTCTCCGAAGCATTCTTTATTATTTCGGAAATAAAATACTATTTATATAAAACAAAATTAAATTCGATGTTTGGATCCTTAACGGTGGTATTCTCAATCGCGAGTTATTGAAAAGATACCTCGCGGATTGGGTAACCCTCGCTCCCCGATAACTCGCGGATATATAATTCTTTTTTATACTCGAACTGACGATTACCGAATCCGTGAGTTATGCGTGGGCAAGATGTTACAGTCGTTGCGATTGGACACTGATAATCACGTGACATATGCTTACATTTTATGTTGTATCTTGGCGTGAAACATTCCATCAGCTGTTTTTAACACGCTTTGTTTGACGTATTTCTCTTGTTTTGTCGAAAAGCAACTTTTCAGCTCAGGAGATGGAATTGTTATTAAATCTTGTAGAAAAATATAAATGTATAATAAACTGCAAAATTACCACAACGCAGTTTTTAAGAAAAAAAGCGTGGGATAGTTTGACGGTGGCTTTCAATGCAGCCAGCCTATATAAACGAAGTCGGCAGCAGCTTCAAAACAAATTTAAAAACATGAAAAAGGAGTCGCAAAAAAAAAAAAAAAAAAAAAAAAAACCAACACCAATAAAAAAAAAAATATTTAAAACTGGCGGAAGAACCCCTAATTTACTGTGAATTACCTAATTTACTGCAGAAAAGAATCGAAGCGGTCGTCCATCTTTGTTTACAAACAGATTTGCGTGATCGAAATCCGCGGGTTACCTTTGGATGAATAATCCATGGATTTGGCGCGATCCACAATTGAGAATAATGATGTTTCGCCAATCTGCGAGTTACCTCCGGTTCGGGGATAACCCGAGGTTAACTCGCGATTGAGAATACCACCGTGTGTTAGAATTAACGAAAAAGAGCGTTACGTTAATGATGCGTTATAGAAATAACGTTACCATTACGGACATGGGCATATTTTTAAAACGACTCGTAACTTCACAAGTATTGGGGAATATCGATCTAGGGTTCTAAAAAAAATTTAAATAACTTAATTTTTAGTCTATTTCTTAAACCCGATTGTGTTGGAGGAATTTTCAAAACATTAAAGAATTTTTCCAAAGAAATTCATTAGTTACAATAGGATCAAAAAGGAATAAGGTAAATCGGGGAAAGTGGCAACATTTAAGGATTTTTCGATTAGTGCCTAGAAAATTGAAATAACAAGACCATGAAAAAAAAACTTTATTTTTCAATATTTAGTTGGTTATGTATACAAATTAATTCTCTTGTTTATTTTCGTACTAAGAAATTTAATGCTAAAGAAATTCATTTAATTGTGGTATATTCCCACATATATGGGGAAGAAACCACCAGACATGCAATAAGATTCAACACCACAACAGTAAATAAAAAAATAAGACAAACATTACCAAATTAAATGTGAAATAACACACACACAACTATAGAAAAATCTTTCATAATTTAATAAAAACTAATTTTGTTGCAGAACGGTCTACAGCATGTTGAAGTAGTAGTCGACTTCAGCCCTATACATCTTCGTCCTGTGTCACAGACACTCACAACCTACTTATCAATTTATAAAACTGTATATTGTATAAAATACAGCTACAATTAATAAGAAAAAGTGTGTACTTATGTACGCACGTAAGTTATACTTTGGTGTAACAAAATTAAAATCTTTCTAAAAATTTTTAGCAGGGCAAGCTGGGCCAAGGACGAAAGGCAGTCACGAGCAGAGTTGAACGATACTAACCTTCAGTCAATAGGACCAGCCAAACCCGAGATGATAACGATTTAAATAAATTTAAACACCCCGGCACAGGGACAATAGGACCAATAACAGGGGGTATTAGACTGTATCTGGAGATGAAGTGAACCGAATGCGACAGCCGAGACATATTGAATGTCTCGGTGGGAAGAATCGTTCCTGAGAAAATTAAGACATCCGCCTAAAGAGCCCCGAGTTATGGTCATTTTGACATTTAAAACAATTACCGTACATTTTCCTGTATATAATCTGCGGATTATGTGTTAAAAAAGTTTCAAATTTCGTTGTGCGTATTATACGCCGCTGCGGATTATCTGAGAAAAACATTCTCCATCAGAAAAGCTAACAAAGTTTTGAAAGAAATGTCGTTTATGTTTTATAAAATAAATAGATGGCGCTTTCACGACTCTGCTAACGTATTACACCCAAAATTCGTTTTTGTTCAATTACGTTCAAGAACGAATTCGGTTCCTCGGAAGGAAATAGCAGTTACAAGTCGCTGGTGTCATTTATAACTTGTCTTGACTAGAGCTGTTACGTCCTTGGAAAATTTTTATCATGATGAAGCGAAAGCGTGATAGCTATACTGAAGACTTCAAATTAAAAGCTGTAGAGAAGGCGAATGAAGTCGGAAATCGGGAAGCCGCGCAAGATTTTTTCAACGTTGATGAATCGAATATTCGTTTGTGGAGAAAGAACAAGAGCAACTTCGAAAATTGTGATAGACGTAAAAGGACCGATCGTCGTGGGAAAACCTCACTGGCCAGAATTAGAGGCTGAAATAAACAAATGGATTTTAAAAGAGACGATGGGAAAGCAGTCTCAACAGTTAACATCAGAATAAAAGCACAAGTTATTGCACGCGAAATGAATATTGTTAACTTCTCTGGTGGGCTCACGTGGTGTTACCGGTTTATGAAGAGAAACAATTTAGTCGTTCAACGGTCGGACAGAAATTACCTGATAACTGGGAAAAAATCTGACGACTGACATTTTGCAAGCAAATTTCTGTTGAAAATAATTTCACAGAAGATTTGATTTTTAATATGGACGAAGTTCCATTATCGTTTGATATTCCAAATACCAGGACTGTCGACATTCAAGGAGCCAGTGTAGTATTCCTATAAATATTACTGGAAATGAAAGAACGTCATTTACTGTAGTTTTATGCTGTGCTGCAAATGGTTTAAAATTGCCGCCGATGCTAATTTTTTTAAAAAAAAAAACGCCCCCAAAAGAAGATTTTCCTAAAGGTGTGGAAATTCGTGCGAATGAAAATGGATGAGCAAATAATGTCGTCATGGCTTCAGAGTATCTGGCGGAAACGCAAAATCTTTTGTCTTAAGGCATTTTTAATTATGGACTCCATGAAAGCTCATGTGAGTGAAAACGTAAAACATGCTCTGAAGACCGCGTCTGCAAAAACTTCCATAATACCTGGAGGACTGACAAAAAAATTGCAGCCCTTAGACGTCGGTATTAATAGATCTTTTAAATCAGAAGTTAGAAAGTTACGGAAACAGTGGATGTCCGATGGAGAAAACTATACAAAAACGGGAAAACTGAAGCGGGCATCATATGAAAATGTCTCCAACTGGGTCCTGAAAGCAGGGAATGACGTTGCGGAAAATACCGTAAAGAACGCTTTTCGAAAATGTAATATAATTGTTAAAAATGACTGACGATGAAGACTCGTTGCTATCCAGTGACTCGAAAAAAAGATCCACAAAAAAAAAAAAAAAAGAGAAAGATTTTTTCCGCGTGCAATGTTTTGCTTAACAACTTAAAACATAGATGGCAGTAGCAAGGAATTTTTTTGTTTTATTGAGATTATCGTACAAAATATTATGACACATATTTAAATAAATGCGTTTCATAATAAATTTTGTCCTCTGTACAATTTCTTACTTCTATTCTTAATTATATTCTTTATTTTATGTGTCTCATTATCGGCAGTTTATATTTTGGATTATTCGCCGTCAAAACTGCCGCGGATTATACGCCGCTGCGGATTATACGATGTTTTTTACTCGAAAAAAGGCTATGCGGATAATACGCCGCTGCGGATTATATACAGGAAAAAATAAGGTAAATAAAATAGAAGCAGAGCACCCAGCAACTCTAACCTGGGACTGGTTGTGAGCAAACACAAGAGGAATCCATTAGAATCGGTCCGGAATCTAGTTACAAATGGAGCGGCGCTAGCTCGGGAAAGGAAAATGAAACTCCCCGGTGGGGAATAACTGATATAAATGGTCACGTACATCCCAATGACATAGAAGGATGAAACTTTGGGATCACCTACTACTATCTCTGTAATATCGTTACGTCATCAAAAGATCGAACCCCATAACATGGGGATTCTAATTTTAGTGATAACGCCCCCTTCAAGTCCATTATCTACACACGAATTATAACAGTTGAAACAGCTCAACGAGGAGAACCTACGGTCCGAGCGTCATTAACGAATCTCAAAGTCCTTGGAGCTATGCGGGGTTTAAAAAATAGAGCATTCGACTGCAGATCGAGATGTCCCCGGTTCAAACCCGGGGGCCCCTTCTTCAGGGAAGTGAGGAGAAATTCGAAGGTGGGAATGCTTTGATTAGAAATTTGAAGAACACGACAGATCATTTTCGTGTCCGTTCCTACGGAACTCAAAGCAAAGGTTAGCTGAAGCGGGGGTATAACTCAGTGGTAAGACATTCGACTGCAGATCGAGAGGTCTCCAGTTCAAACCCGGGTGGCCCCTTCAAGGAAGTGAAGAGAAATATTTTCCTGAAGATTTCGAAGGCGGGTCAGTGAGTGTAGGATTTTTATGGCGCAAGAGACAATTTTGGCTATACTTCGCCAAACATTTGTTAAAAAATAATTCAAAATGTTTTATAAAATATTTATAAAATAATGACGATACAGTTTTAAAAAATTAAAAATTTCCAAATCACATAAAATTGTTTTCAAGTAAATTTAAAAAATTTGGTGGGGTTTCCCCCACCAAGTCAGACTATCTTTAAATAAAAATATAGAAAAATAGGAATGGAACATGTATTGTCTAACTTTGTTTTAAACTAACAAGTTACCAAAATTAGCTTTTATTTTTCCTGAATCGGGTTGGAGTTAACACGCGTAAATTGTCGCGATTGTTTATAAAACTTTTATGGCGAATTTATCCGTAGGATCTGGCTCAAGTTCCTCCTCCACGTCATACATAAGCACATGTCTTCGTCATGAGTAGTATATTCCGCAGATGCTGACTTTATGTGGAGCCATTTTTATTTCGATTTCTGTACTTTTGGGAGCTTTCTTCTATTTTTGGATTCTGTTTAACATTCTGTGGGATTTTGGATTGCTTTTCTATTCGCTATTGCTTTTAGAAGTGGTGGGAGCAGTATCTATTACAGAAATAGAGGGTTGAGATTCTAATGATGTAACCGTGACAGAAGATGTGGATGGTAAGAGTTGTGCCCGAGTTGATGTAGATGATTTGGTAACTGTAGGAATTCTAGAAGGCATTGTTTTCTGAACAGATGTTAAAGGTTGTAGTAGTTTTAAAGGTGGACATACTATTTTTGTAATATTTTCATCCGTTTGATTTGTTGTCGCTGCAGTTAATGTTTTTGCAACCTGAGCGTATGTTTGAGATTTGTGTGACTATTAATTTTCGGGCTTCAGGATACGAGACATTTGTTTTAAATTCTTGGATTTACTTTTCAGTTCTCCACTTGGGGCAGAGTTTGGAATCAGCGGAATGGGGTTGCGAGCAGTTTAGGCTCTAGAATGCAATCTGTGGAAGCATGTCCAACAGATGCACATCTAGAGCAAGTGGACCGCAGCAGGAAGTTTGTGAGTGTCCGAACCTCTGGGACTTAAAACAGCGCAGAGGATTCGGAATGTATGGACGGATTTTACAATTTAAATAAACAGTTTTAATGGTTTGGGGTAATGTGGGTTGCTAAAAGTTAAAATTAAATGTTCGGTCGGAATAACTGCTGAATCTTTCTTTATTGCGATTCTTCTAACCTGAATAATACCCTGATCAGAGAATCCCTCCAGGATTTCTGCTTCAGGGGTGGTCAACAGGTCAGGTTCAGAGATGACTCCACGGGATGTGTTCAGAGATTTGTGAACTTGTATTCACTGGCAAATCGAGAAATGTTTTCGTTAGTAAGAAAGACTTTGTGTAGAAGAACTAGTTTCAATAAGTAGATCACCGGATCGCAATCTTTTAACGGATTTTGGTTCTACACCTATTCCTTCGAGAGTTTTATGTATTGCAAATGGCGATTTCGGAGACATGACATTGTTAGGCAAGGAAATTAATAAAAATCACACGTTTAGCAGTTTCATTATTATTAAGGTTGGGCAATACAAGGCCTTTACCCTGGCACAGCCGACTTGGATCCATATGCGTGAGAAAACTACTTCATCCTGGCATGCCTCCACCCACCACGGAGTCCAACAAGGGAGGCAGTGTGCCGGTCATCTGGAAAAAACTAGGCACAGCGCTTACCTGGAGTACACCCAGAATATAATGCTACAGCATCGGGACGAGGATCCAACGGGTATGCCCGCCACCCCTTATCTGCAGCACTAACCCTATACTAGCAGGGTCTCTTCGGGAAAAAGACGAGAGGTACTACCAGCTGATTGACAGGAGCGGGCTCACTCCTGCCACCCGTCTACAGTGAAGCGTGGGCCAAAGGGAACGCAGAGGTATCCCTAGGCCACCAATCTCCTCCATACTGGAGAAGCATGGGCAAAGGGAACGCAAAGGATTCCCAGAACACCATTTTCCTCCTTACGGGACGCCACACACGGCAAACATGCCGTATGCTAGTATTTAAAGAAATATACGAAAAACAAACTAAATTATCGCAAAAGAAATTGTGAACCAAAATATATTAATAGTACAACGATTTAATCAATGTACATCTTAAATAACATTGGTCTGTAGTCTCGACGTGAAAAGAAAAAGGAACTTTGAATGGCAAGAAGGAGGGCCGAAAATAGAGAAGAATAACTAGGGTACCCCGGGTTTGTGACACCCGTACTCTCCTAAAGAAAGTGAGCCCTCCAGGGTGTTTAGAAGGTGGGAATGATCTGTCCCGTTCTGTATATTTCTAGAGAAAGCGTTTTTGAATCCGTGACGGTGTGCGCACGCAACGTAAAAATTCACCCTCATTCCATTTCTCTAACGTCCCAAAAGTATAACTTCAAAGATTAAAGTTCATTTCATTTATTTCTGAACCATGTGGGGGTCTTGGCCAAGTATAGGGGCAGATGCTTATTTCTTTATTGCTGCAATGTTATGGCCGCCTCTACATGCATCGTATGTTTAACATGCGTAACTTGCTTATATTGCTAATATCTTATTTTAAATAACAAGTACGTTTATGAACTTTAAATATGAGGAACGGAATATTATCTAGTCTCTTGTATAAATTTATGTATCAGATCATAGTGACTCCAAAATCAAGGCATAGTATTGAAGATAAAGAGTTTTATTTTGGAAATATTTTTTCCCACATAACAACTAGTTTTATCCATTTGATCGGCAGAAACATCTAGATCATGTCCATAGATTAAAAACGCTAGGGTTCACGAAGAACTGTATTAAAAAGCAAGAACAGCCGGCATTTATGGCAGCCAATACAAGCTACGATGTGGGCAGGAGGGGCTTGGGTCGCATTGCAAATCGGACAAGGAGGGTAAACTTTAATACACTCCACATGCCGTTGAGCTCTAGTATGCCTACTTCGAAGCCTAGCTAGAGTACTTTCATCTTGACTACTGCTTGTCGTAAGCAAAACAGCACCAGGACGGTTTCCTTCATACCTTTCATGTGCGGGCCTACCTCCAAGAGGAACCGATGCCCGTTTGACCCAGGTAGCAATTTCTGAAAAAGTAAGGTAGCCACCATGTGTTGAATTCTTATAGCCGCCTCTCGAGTCAGACCATCTGCATTATCACATACATTTACATGCGACTGTACCCGCTGAAAAGAAATCTTAATATCGACACTCAAGCAATTTAAAAGCCGATCAATACTCGTTGTCATTGTGTTAAATACAACTTCGGCTATCACACAATATCCAAATATCTGTATTGATACACTATCAGTAAAGAAACATTTCAAAGCCTCCTCAGTTACTATAAGTTCTACCCTAAAAACCGAGTAGCACAATCAGGGTTTCGGATATGTCTATGTCATCCTTTTTATGAAAATTCCACTACCCGAGGTAGCACCTTCAGTATAGAATGTGTAAACCACCACATGAGATTTTATAAATAGTCCCTAAAGCATACAGGATAGGATACTCTGGATGTTGTGTGCCTTTGCTTCGTACGAGGACAATTCGTTCTTAAAAAAGAGACTTTCATAAAACGGCACAGCAACACCTGTACAGCAGGTCACCCCGAAATATATTGTACTTTAACTTGAGTTCATATAAAAACTATATTTTCTTTTAAAAGGCTCTTATAGGGTTGTAAATTTAACAGACTGCAGAATATTACAAATACTCCAAAATACTTTTAAATTATTTTTATACCGGTTTACCGGAAAGTTTTCAGCCCAGGTTACAATAAGTTTCAACAAGTATGCGCATATCCATTAGATGCATATTTGGCCCTTTATCATTAGATGTTTACATACGGACATATATAACAAATGAACCAAATCCAAGACGATTGTTAGTATTAAGCGAGACGCAATCGTGTACCCTCGGCTACCGATAGTCACCCATCCAGTATAGTAGTGACTGACTGCTGCGCGATAGGGCCTGGGTTTAAATCCCGGATAAGGCATGGATGTCTGCAAATTTATAGTGCCCTCGCGGCATGGATGTACTCTAAATAGGAGTCGAACCGTAAATCATCTCGCTAGGTTGGAATGGGAAGAGGGATTTGGAGGCCCTGACCACTCCAGGGTGTCCACTCTAAAAATTGGGGTGGGAAATGAACGAAAGCGTACCGTCACTCGTATGGTGCTCAAGATAACGGCTAACGAAAGGAGTCACTTGCCCTTTGCCATAACGAATTTCGTGGGCCTGAATCCGACTTACTGACCAGATTGCATAACAAAATGGTTACTGATTAAGTTCATCTACGCTTCTACATTTTGTGCGAATTCCAAAAACGAAGATATGCCACAGAAGCGCGTAGAAATGTATTGAAAAGGTTGGTGAAGTTACAGTTTAGGATAAACAAACAGAAGACTATTCTTTAAATTTCAAATAGGCTATTTAAACCATTGTGATATCACTGCTCTTTTCTAGTTCAAAGTGGTTTAAACACCGGAGATTGCGGAAAAGTTTCATTCTGCTGAAACCATTTCGGAAACTAGTATTAGCATGAAAAAATTAAAGATGGGAGCTACAAGAACGGGGAAAATTTGAATTATCGAGTCATCATATGCACATTTCTATCCACCTCAAAGGATACCAAGACATCACACACCCTAATGACGCAACCCACAAACCATCGCACTCAAAATGATGCAACAACCAAGAAGCTTGCCATAACTATGGTATCGTTCGCCTATTCACCGAATCAATGGCAGGGTGGTGGCAG